CTTGGGCCCTTCGGTCTGTGCATGGGAATCTGCACCTCTTTCTCTTCCTGTCCAAGCACGTGGGCTGCAGGCTCTCCTGATGCGAATACCCCAGCAGCCTCTGGCTGAGCCCCTTTCCTTGGAATTTCCGATAGACTGGTGGCAAGACCCGAGATCTGAGTTCATTAGAGGGGCAGGATAGGCTGGGCACAGTGGCTCAGGCCTTGAAGCCCAGCACTTTGAGGGGCTGAGGCGGGCAGGTCACCTGAGGCTATGAGTTTTTAGAGGAGGGGGACAAATGCTGGATCCCTTGGCTTTACGGCCCCACCCTCAAGATCGTAAATTGGCGTCTGGTCATTGGAAGGGGGTCGGGCAATGATGTGTGTCCTTGTAATTGTGAACTCCGGGGCTGCACATGGGAGGGTTTTTGTCCTTGAAGCTCAGATTGCCCCATTTGTGGCCCGCGGGAGCCTCTTGGTTGGCTCCTGAGTCCTGTGCATGTGACTGTGGTGCCAGCCGCTTCCTCGCGTCTGCAGGACGGGCTGCTCTGGGCTCATCCTGTGAGCCTTCCGCCCCAGACCTGGACCAGCCTGTATCTCCAGGAACCTCTGGCGTAATGTGTGTCACTGGGCCTTTTGTCAGTGCGGCTCCCTAAGCTTGTTCTTGTGTGGATTCCTTGGGACGTGTTTGTGGAAACTGTACTCACGGAGTCCTTGGACACCTTCAGAAGGTGTCTGGGAACTAGGAGGTGGTGCTGACTCGGGTCTAGGTGGCCAGGCCGTTGTTTGGGGAAGCACACCCTGGAGCATTTGGTGTGATGGGGCACTGCGTGTACAGCTCCACCTCACACAGTCTGGGGAACAAGGCAGGTGTGCGTGTGCATGTGTGTGCCTGTGTGTGGTGTGCGTGTACAGCTCTGCCTCACACCGTTAAGGGGATCGAGGCAGGTGTGCGTGTGCCAGTGTGTGCCCGTGTGTGGTGTGTGTGCGCACATATGTGCCCATGTGTGTCTGTGTGTGGTATGCACATGTGTGCCTGTGTGTGGTGTGTGTGTGCGCATGTGTCCCTGTTTCTGTGTGTGGTATGTGTGTGCCCGTGTGTGGTGTGCATATGTGCCCATGTATGTCCATATGTGGTATGTGTGTGCACATGTGTGCCCTGTGTAGTGTGCATGTACAGCTCCACTTCACACTGTTAAGGGGATCGAGGCAGGTGTGTGTGTGCACGTGTGTGCCTGTGTGTAGTGTGCATGTACAGCTCCACTTCACAGTCCAGGGGATCAAGGCAGGTGTGTGTTTGCCCGTGTGGTGCATTTGTGCACCCATGTGTGGTGTACATGTGCCCATGTGTGGTGTGTGTTTATAGCTCTGCCTCACACTGTCCAGGGAATGCAGGTGTGTGTGTGCATGTGTGTGCCTGTGTGTGGTGTGCATGTGCATGTGTGTGTCTGTGGTGTACGTGTGCCCATGTGTGGTGTGCGTGTACACGTGTGCCCATGTGCACGAGTGTGCCTGTGTGTGGTGTACGTGTGCCTGTGTGGTGTGTGTGTGCCTGTGTGGTGTGCGTGTGCATGAAGAAATCTCTTACCATGTATGCCGTAGGTCCCCCAGCTGGGCTCTGTACCTGGGACTGGCTGAAGACTGAATAATGAGTGAGAAACAGACATTTATCAACACGTGCGTCGTACACAACCTGGGAAAGCGTGGTTGGAGCCTGGGCATGTTCACCATCCTGGGTGCCTATTACCTTCAGGCTTCTGGGAAGGAAAATCAGGAAAATTAAGTCCACAAGGCTGCTTTGTAAGGTTTTTGTTTTTGAAATGGAGTCTCACTCTGTCACCCAGGCTGGAGGGCGATGGTGCTATCTTGGCAAACTGTAACTTCCACCTCCCAGGTTCAAGCAGTTCTCCTGCCTTGGCCTCCTGAGTAGCTGGGATTCCAGGCCTGCACCACCACGCCCAACTAATTTTTCTACTTTTAGTAGAGATGGGGTTTCACCATGTTGGTCAGGTTGGTCTCAAACTCCTGACCTCAGGTGATCCACCTGCCTCAGCCTCCCAAAGTGCTGGGATTCCAGGCGTGAGCCAGAACACCTGGTCACTTTGTAAGGTTTGAGATGCAGATTTCAGGAGTGTGTTTCCTGGTAGGGAGAGGGAGATGCCCCTGGGAATGGAAGCTCCCTTCATAGAAGTCTGTGCAAACCATTTAATGTTTTGGCAGCCCAGGAGTTTCAGACCACCCTGGACAACATGGTAAAACCTTGTCTCTATACAAAACAAAAAATTAGCTGGGTGTGGTGGTGCACATCTGTGGTCCCAGCTATGCAGGAGGCTGAGGCGGGAGGATCATTTGGGCCCAGGAAGTCACGGCGGCAGTGAGCTGTGATAGCACCATTGCACTCCAGCCTGGGTGACAGATAGAGACCCTTTCTCAAAAAAAAAAAAAAATGAAAGTTTTTTGAGTCTTCACCTCATACCCTTTATTTTCTAATTGAAAGCACCTGGGTGGAGACCCGGCCTGTGAGTGCATGTGAGAGTGTGTCTTGGACTCACACGTGCTCACAGAGGAAGATCTGGGAGTGGGAATGAAGTAGAGGAGGAAGCTGCAGCCACGTGGAGATGCTTATGGTCACCATCTGTGTGGCCCCTGCCCACATCTGACCGCAGACCCTGAGGGGTTTGCAGGGGAATGTCAGAGCTGCGCCCCCACCTGTCCTGGCCCGGGAGGCGCCATCCCGGATCCTTGGTGACAAGTGCAGTGTTGGGTTGTTTGCAGAGGTGTGGATGTCCCCAGAAGGACAGGGACAAGGGGCCTTAGGGAGGTGAGCCAAGACCAGGTGAGGTGGTCACTCCTGGGAACATGAGTGCCTGCGTGTCAGCCCGGAGGGATGAGCCCTTTCTGCAGGGATTGGCTGCTGTGCCGGCTGGGCCTGGGAGGAACTGCCTTGCCCTCAATGTTCAAGGAAAGGAAAGCAGCTGCGGCTTTCATTTAATCCTCCCCTTGGTGGCCGGCTCAGCCCCGTGGAGTTTAGGGAATGAGTTCAGCGCCTCTATTTTTGGAAGCTGCTCTAAGCTTCTCTGTATCTGGGGCCAAGGTCAGGCTATGCTTCTCTGCAGACCCCCTGCTGCCTGGAGCTCAGGGCCCCCTGCCACGCCACCTGTGGGATTGGGGTCACCTGTAGAACCAGGGTGGGCGCTGATGGTTCTTCACTCCTCTGTCCCCAGCTGCACCAGGATGTACTCAGCTAAGAAGGTAAAGAAGAGCAAAGCGCTCAGAGCCCCAGAGGCAGATACAAAACAAGGATATGGAAGGGAGGACTTTAATCCCTGGCATTTGCTCGCTGAGCTGGCTCTGGCTAAACCACCTTCAGAGGCATTAGTATTTACTGTTAAACCGACTTCACCGTGTGCTTACTCTGAAAAGCAGTGACAGGACTGTGATGCTGCGTCAGTGTTTGTGATGGTTCTATCTTAGCCAAGATATTCAATTAACAAAAACAGGCTGGGCACGGTGGCTTATGCCAGTAATCCCAGCACTTTGGGAGGCCGAGGCAGGTGGATCACCTGAGGTCAGGAGTTTGTGACCAGCCTGGCCAACGTGGCGAAACCCTGTCTCTACTAAAAATGCAAAAATTAGCCAGGTGTGGCGGCGGGTGCCTGTAATCCCAGCTACTAGAGAGGCTGAGGCAGGAGAATAATTTGAACCCAGGAGGCAGAGGTTGCAGTGAGCTGATATTGTGCCACTGCACTGCAGCCTGGGCAACAGAGGGAGACTCTGTCTAAAAAATAATAAATAAAAGAGCAAGAACAGCTCAGCCCCGCACGGCAAGAGGCCAAGTTGTGTGGGCATCAGCCGAGGCTGTGCACCTGCAGGACGGGGCCAGACGCACTTGGGAGGGTGTGGCACGATCACACGGGTCACATACTGAACTCTTTCCCAGTGCAAATCCAAGCACTAAAATTTACTGTAAATCATTACATGAGCAAGCTAAAAAATGACGTGGGAAACGCAGAAGTGCTTTGGTGACACAAATGTCCATTCGAAAGGAGGACGCGCTGCTAGAAGCATTTGTCTGAGTGTATTTTTTCTTGTGGTAAAACGCACAGAATGCGGAATGTGCCCTCTTACCCACATTTCCAGCTCAGTGGCATCAGGGCCGCTCACCTCGTGGTGTAACCATCGCCGCCGCGCTTTCCAGGGCTGTTGCATCTTCCCAGACAGAATCCTGGTCCCCGTCACTCCTTCCCTCCCTCCGCCTGCTACGGAAGGCCGGACTCCCTCCCCTTCTAAGGCTGAATGATTCTCCATCGTGTGACCATTCATGTTTTGCTTATCCACTCGTGCCAATGGACACGTGGGTTGCCTCCGTCTCTTGGCTGTTGTGAATATTTCTGCTAGGAACATGGGGGTGCCTGCATCTCCTTGGGACTCTGTTTTTCACCTGCAGATTTTTATTTATTTATTTATTATTTTGAGACGGAGACTTGCTGTCTCCCAGGCTGGAGTGCAGTGTCGTGATCTCAGCTCACTGTAGCCTCCACCTCCCAGGTTCAAACAATTCTCCTGCCTCAGCCTCCCAGATAGCTGGGATTACAAGTGCCTGCCACCACACCCAGCTAATTTTTGTATTTTTAGTAGAGACGGGGTTTCTCCATTATCAGCCAGACTGGTCTTGAACTCCTGACTTGAGGTGATCTGCCTGCCTCAGCCTCCCACAGTGCTGGGATTACAGGGCTGAGCCGCCACGCCTGGCCCTCGACCTGCAGATTTTAACTGACGCCCAGCCAGGCGGCCTCCAGCCCAGCCCTTCAGCCCCAGGAATGTCCTAAAAGGCCTGGCTGTGGGGGTCGCTCCCCACGAGCCCTGTGTCTGCAGGCTTCAGCCCGACTCTTCCTCTCCCACTTTCTCCTTCCCTCCTGAGAGGGGTCCTTGTGGGGTGGCCCTGTTTTCTTTGGCTATAAGGGGAGTGGGGCTTGTGGAGGTGAGGAGAGTGTCAGGGTCTCTTCTCCCCCTACCTGGCAGATTACTACACCCCGGCCATGCTGGGCCTAAAGACCGACCAGGAGGTGCTGGGGGAGCTGGTTCGGGCAAAGCTGCCGGCCGTGGGGGCCCTGATGGAGCAGCTCGGCGTGCTGTGGACGCTGGTGGTGTCCCGCTGGTTCATCTGCCTGTTTGTGGATGTCCTGCCTGTGGAGGTGAGCGCCTCGCTTAGGGCCCGGGGCGGGCAGGGAAGCTGCCAGGGAGTGACATGGTTTCTGTGTCTCTGCAGACAGTGCTTCGGATCTGGGACTGTCTGTTCAACGAAGGCTCGAAGATCATCTTCCGGGTGGCCCTGACCTTAATTAAGCAACACCAGGAGTTTATTTTGGAAGCCACCAGCATTCCAGACATTTGCGATAAGTTTAAGCAGATTACCAAAGGGAGTTTCGTGATGGAGTGTCACACGTTCATGCAGGTAAGTGTCTGCGGGTGCTCACGGGGCACACGTGGCTCCGTCCCTTCCGCTGGGGGGCCCCGCCTTACCTGCAGCCCAGGGCTGCTCTGACTACGTGAGGGTGCACAGGACGGGCACCAGTGTCAGTGAGCCTCTGGCTCTGTCCTGCGTGCCTGGCCTCCCAGGACTTTCCTCTCCCTGTGGACGCTGCTCCTGGTCCTACAGGCTGTCTGCATCTGTTGTCTGTGCTGCTGGAACAGCGGCTTCCCGAGGCCCAGCTTCCCCACTGGGTCCTGGACCTGACGTGGGCGGTAGAGACTCAGGCCCTGATGAGGGTGACGTGGGAGCCGCACCCAACAGGCCTTCTGAGGAGGCCAAGAGGCTAGGACAGGCTCAGGCCCCGGATGCTGCTCATCGCTCCCTGAGAGGGAATGGAGGCTCGGGGCCCCTCTGGATGCAGCATGGTGGGCGTGGGGGGTATTTCAGCAGCCAGGGCCTCATCAAAGAGAACAGAGTGGTGGCCGGGTGCGATAGCTCACACCTGTAATCCCAGCACTTTGGGAGGCTGAGGGCGAAAAGATCACCTGAGGCCAGGAGTTCAAGACCAGCCTAGCCAATGCGGCAAAACCCCATCGGTACTAAGAAATACAAAAATCAGCTGGGTGTGGTGGCTCACGCCTCTAGTCCCAGCTACTTGGGAGGCTGAAGCAGAATCACTTGAACACGGAGGTGGAGGTTGCAGTAAGCCGAGAGCGCGCCACTACACTCCAGCCTGGGCAACAGAGTGAGACTCAGTCTCAAAAAAAAAAAAGAAATAGAAAACTGTGGTGACAAACGAGAGATGTCAGACACAAGCCCTTGGCAGAGGACACAGCAGTCAGCTGTGACTCACTCGAGGGCTTGTCAGGTAAAATGAGCGCTTCGCCACGGACGCGTGCCTCGCCGGAGGGGGAGAGCTCCCCGTCCTCGGAGGTCAGGCTGCTGGCCACTGGGTGAGAAGGTTTCAGAGCCTCATGGAGCATCAGCTTCCTGAGAGGGAGCCAAGGCCCAGGCCTCCTTGGGAGGGTCTGCTCCAGGAACCTCGTTTGCAGCTGGCTTGGCTGTGCCCAGGGTGTGCTGGAGATAAGTTATTTTCCTAGAATGAGCTTTGTCCAAAGGTGAAGTGGTGAACGGTAAACAGGACTCTGAGCCCCTCAGATCTGTTAGAGACTACAGACAGTAAGGTGTCTTCTGTCATAGCCTTCTGAGTTATATCACTAAATAATTAACATAAAGAGCCGTGACGTGCACGGGGAAAAGCAGCCCAGGCTGCCCTGGGGGAGATGAGCATGTGCCTGTTGTTCTGTGGCTGGCTTCTTTCCCACAAGACTGACAGCCAAGCTCTTTTTGGAGAAGGGGATCTCCATCTGCGCCTTAGGGGAGTGCAGTGGTGCAGTCTCAGCTCACCGCAGTCACCACCTCCAGGGCTCAAGCCATTCTCCCAAGCAGCGGGGACCACAGGCACTTGTCACCATGCCTGGAAAATTTTAAAATTTATTGTAGAGATGGGGTTTCCCTATGTTGCCCAGGCTGGTCTCAAACTCCTGAGCTCAAGTGATCCTCCCACCTTGGCCTCCAGAAGTGCTGGGATTGCAGGCCTGAGTCACCACACCGAGCACAACCTTCAAATGAATCTAAAATCTCACCCGGAGTCGCTGGTGCATTGGGTGATGGAGTCTCTGTGTGGAGCTGCCGCAGCCCCTGCCTCCACCCGTGTGAGTTTGGACTGTTGTGTGTTCGTGATTCACAAGGGGTCCCCATAATCTGTCATTCCATAGTCTCTGATTCTTAGAAACACAATTTGATTCTTGCCTTTCTTCTTGATTGTAATTTTTGTTAATATGCTGATTTTGTGACACAGTCTGAATGGCGTTTCCTGGCTGAGTGATTTTAGAGGATCAGATCTGCTTTCTTCCCACAAGACCTAAGGACAGTGTTGGTGAAAACAGGCTGTGCTCGTGAGTGAAGGCTGGTGTGTGATGGTGTAGTGTCGCCCTGCGCTTGTGAGTGAAGGCTGGTGTGCGATGGTGTAGCGTCATGAGTGAAGGCTGGTGTCCGATGGTGTAGCATCACCCTGAGCTCGTGAGTGAAGGCTGGTGTGCGATGGTGTAGCATCACCCTGTGCTCGTGAGTGAAGGCTGGTGTGTGATGGTGTAGCATCACTCTGCACTTGAGTGAAGGCTGGTGTCCGATGGTGTAGCGTCATGAGTGAAGGCTGGTGTCCGATGGTGTAGCGTCATGAGTGAAGGCTGGTGTGTGGTGGTGTAGCATCACCCCGAGCTCGTGAGTGAAGGCTGGTGTGCGATGGTGTAGTGTCACCCTGCACTTGTGAGGGCTGGTGTGCAATAGTGTAGTGTCACCCTGCGCTCGTGAGTGAAGACTGGTGTGCAATGCTGTAGCGTCACCCTGCGCTCGTGAGTGAAGAAGGCTGGTGTGTGATGGTGTAGCATCACCCTTTGCTCATGAGGGCTGGTGTGCGATGGTATGTCACTCTGCGCTCGTGAGTGAAGGCTGGTGTGTGACAGTGTAGCGTCATCCTGTGCTCGTGAGGGCTGGTGTGTGGTGTAGCATCACCCTGCGCTCGTGAGGGCTGGTGTGCGATGGTGTAGGGTCACCCTGCGCTCGTGAGGGCTGGTGTGCAGTGCTGTAGCGTCACCCTGTGCTCATGAGTGAAGGCTGATGTGCGACAGTGTAGCATCACCCTGTGCTCGTGAGTGAAGGCTGGTGTGCGACGGTGTAGCGTCACCTTGCGCTTGAAGGCTGGTGTGCGACAGTGTAGTGTCACCCTGTGCTTGTGAGTGAAGGCTGGTGTGCGATGTAGTGTCACCCTGCGCTCATGAGTGAAGGCTGGTGTGTGACAGTGTAGTGTCACCCTGTGCTTGTGAGGGCTGGTATGTGATGGTGTAGTGTCACCCTGTGCTGAGGGCTGGTGTGCGATGGTGTAGCATCACCCTCTGCTCGTGAGTGAAGAAGGCTGGTGTGTGATGGTGCAGCGTCACCGCACGCACATGAGGGCTGGTGTGTGATGGTGTAGCGTCACCCCACGCACGTGAGGGCTGGTGTGTGATGGTGTAGTGTCACCCCGCACTCGTGAGGGCTGGTGTGCGATGGTGTAGCGTCACCCTGCACTTGTGAATGAAGGCTGGAGTGCGACAGTGTAGTGTCACCCTGCGCTCATGAGTGAAGGCTGGTGTGAGATGTAGTGTCACCTTGCACTCGTGAGGGCTGGTGTGCAATGGTGTAGCATCACCCTTTGCTCGTGAAGGCTGGTGTGTGATGGTGTAGCGTCACCCCACGCACGTGAGGGCTGGTGTGCGATGGTGTAGCGTCACCCTGCGCTCATGAGGGCTGGTGTGTGATGGTGTAGCGTCACCCTGCACTCGTGAGTGAAGGCTGGTGTGGGACGGTGTGGCGTCATCCTGCGCTCATGAGGGCTGGTGTGCGATGGTGTAGCATCACCCTGCATTCGTGAATGAAGGCTGGTGTGTGATGGT